TTCTGCAATTGCTCTTTATTATGGTGCTCATCTCTGTGAAGATGGTCAGGAATTTACCTTATGCTATGTCTTATTGAATTCCAGAGTAAATTGTTATTTCAACTACTATTTTTGATTCTTTTTGAGACAGGTTCTCTTTGTAACTTTGGAGCCTATTCTGGAACTTACTAACATAGACCAGGCTTGCCTCAAATTTACAGAGATCTGCCTGCCTCTGCCTCCTGTGTACTGGGATTAAAAGTATGCACCACCACCACCTGACTATTTTCAAGATTTTTATGTTTCTTGATAACTTCTTTCTTACTCATCCTTTCTTGACTCCTTCTTTTATCCTCCCTTCCCTCCCATTTCCTCCTGTCTCTTATTTTCTCTCTTCCCTCTCATCTCATCTATTCCTCCCTTCCCTTCCACCTTCCTCACTTCTCCTCTTTCTACTCTCCCAGCCTCTTCTCCCATCCCCTCCCTCCCCTCCTTCTCCTTCCTCTCCTATTTCCCTTCTCTTCAGGTCTCTTCTCTAACCTCACTTCTCTCCATCTGCTCCCTCCTGCTTCTATCTTCTTTCTTCTTATCATTCCCTTGTTCTTCTTCCTCTTTTACCCTCTCTTCTTTTCTCTTCTCTTTCCTCTCCTTCTTTCTTGTTAGTCCCATGGCCTTCCTTTTCCTAGTCTCCTGTCCTGTGAGCCCTCCTCTCCTCTCCTCTCCTCTCCTCTCCTCTCCTCTCCTCTCCTCTCCTCTCCTCTCCTCTCATCTCATCTCCTCTCCTCTCCTCTCTGCGTCTCTTGCCTTATCTTTGATTCTCCTGCCTCTTCCCTTTTTGTCTTTTTCACTCTCTCCTGTTCCTTCATTCCTTTCTTCCTCTCTCCTTTCTTCTTTCCTCCTTCCCTTTCTTCTTTTTCTTTAAATATACAAAGCTCTACTTACTCAATGAGGAATAATTTGCATATGTAAAATACATAAAATCCACATAGTCAAACAGATTCTATCACCTTTTTTCAACTTTTGGAATAAATGTATTCTATTCTGCTTCCATTTCCTATACATCTCTCCATACCCTCCAGTTCCACCCTGCCCATAGCTATCTCAACAACTATGGGCTTAGCTTCTGACAGGTGATCTTCAAAACTGCCTTCTTCAAGAACTATCTTTGACTGTCAAGTCACTCCTTTTTTCTACTTCACAACAAAAAGACACAGATAAAAATAATGGATGGTAAAACAAGGTCCAATGTTCTGATGCATATGAGAATAACTCAAGACATTACCTTGAGTTAAAAGGTTGGAAAAAAGATATTGCAAGCAAGCCGATGCATCCATTATAATATCTAATAGCATAGTCTTCAAATCAAAATTTATTCAAAAGAAATGGGAAGAACACTACATAATCATCAAAGGAATAATTCACCAAGATGACGTTACAGTTCTTAATATCTATGTTCCAAGCACAAGGGCACCCACTTTTGTAAAAAGAAGCAAAACATTTTAAAATACATATTTACCCTCACACACTATTAGTGTGAAACTTTAATATTCCACTCTAACCAATGCACAGGTCATTCAGACAAAAACTAAGCAAAGAAATGCTGGAGACAACTGATGTTATAAATCAAATGAACCTAAGAGATATTTTCAAAACATTCCACACAAACACAAAAGAATATACCTTCTCAGCTCCTCAGAGAATTTTCTCCAAAATTGAACACATACTCCTATAAGTCAAACTAAAATTCACAGACCCAGAGATATTAGTCAAAGAGGAAAGCTCTAGGAAGAACACATGAACCTACTCTGGAAGGAGAAATGGAATAAATTTTGTAGATGAACAGGGAGATTTGGGGACTGGAGTGCGAGGGATCATGTAGAGGGTCAGGCCAAGAGTACAAAGAGAGACCCACTGGAATTGGGAAGAATTGGGTGGAAACCTAGTGTGGTGAAAACTCTAAGAGGGGTTATCCTAGTGAGGATTCTTAGCAATTAAGGAACTAGCCAGAGTCTGAACTGGCCATCTTTTTAGCCAGGTAAGGCTTCTAGTGGCAAGACTAGATTGTCATTACTACTATATTACGCACACATATGAAAGTATATAAATATGCTAATGCATATTTATAGTTTATTTGTGATGTAAGTATATCTCTGTATACTATTATAGACATATTATTTTCCATAGACAAAACTGGCTTTGCAAGGCATAGCCTGTGATCAAGGTCATCCTAAGCATAAAGCTCAAGTTCTTTTAGACTGTGATTTAAATAATTTTCTTTCTTCCATATCTATAATCCTCCCACATGCTCCTCCTTGTCCTTCAAATTTATAGCCTCTTTTCAATTAATAATTACTACATACATACATGTATTTGTATGTGCATGTACTCTTCCAATATAACCTTGTTTGTCTATATAATGTTACTTGTATATATGTTTTCAGGACCAACCATTAACACTGAATGAGCATGAGAAGGAACACCTCTCCTAGTCCCAGCTTTACACATCTATCTATAGTTCTTTGCATGAAGTCGAGGCCTCATAGTCTTTTCTCACTCATTTTGACATGTTTATTGATTGGTGTCATCCTTGTTCAGCTCACTTTTGGTCAGTCATGTTTGTGAGTCTTTATAGGTGTAGTTTGTGGTTTGACTTGAAAACACAGCCAGCAAAAGACCTGTTCTGGCTCTTGCAGCCCTTCCATGCCATCTTCTGAAATGTTTCATAAGCCTTATATATTGAAGTGTTTTGCAGATATATCCATTGGTATTAGGCTCTAGAACTCTACATTTTGGTTAGTTTCCTTGGTAATGTGTGAAGACTACACATATTTGTGTGCATAAGGACAAATGTTTATAGATTATTTTTAGGGGCTGTGCTGGTTTAGTAAATTAGTGATTATCCTCCAATAACTACAACTTTCCTAGCACTGAGTAGTTAACTATATTGTCCTCTTCTTAAGCAGATCTTAAGCCCAACTAAAGAGCTATTTGTAACCACCAAATCATGTGTGCCATTGCTGCACCCTTAGCATGATCATGCAAAGCTGGTTGTTGATGTGGTTCACAGTCATCACAGATAAGTAGAACTTCTGGTTACTCTTCTTCTTTGAAAGCTTTAATGGCATCTTCTGGTACATTGGAAGTTATTTTTTGGGCAAAAGGCATTCAGATCACTTTCATCTCAGGTACTTGGGTCATGTTTTTGAAGCATATGATATCTAAAGCATGACTGACTTACATTGTATCTCTCAGGGTTCATCAAGGGTAATAGCAATAGGTTATGTTTTGGGAGTCTTTTAGTTATGGCCAAAAGCTCTGAAAAGGGGTTCTCATGTCTGACTTTGGGATTTTTTTTAGATTCCTTTTGGCTCTTAGACGGAGCATCATCACTCGATGAGAAAGGTCATTGTAGACTCTGTGTGTGTGTGTGTGTGTGTGTGTGTGTGTGTGTGTGAATATTTTAGGTCTTTTGTTAAATAGTTAATAATATATGATTCTTTGTGGATTTTTAGGGTATCTGTATTATTTTACCCACTTCCTTCTTCCCTCATTCCTCAGTAGCCCCCCTTTCTACTTCCTCTCTCAGATTACTTATATTTTTCAATTCCCCCTTTCCTTATTTCTACATTCTTCAGTGTTTATCTCCATTCTCCCCAATTTCCATTTCTGTGATTAAATTGTAAAGCTCATTTTTTGCTCTGTTTCCCAACTATTCCAAAAAGTCAGCAGGTAAGGTAGTAGGAACATTCACAATCTTGTAACTGTTTGGTCTTAAGTAATGTGCACTTAAACCATGTTTTCCTCAACTATATACTCTTAGACAACCAGATTTTTAACCTAAATCCCTTCACTGTTATAAAATTCAGGCTATTGAAACCTTCCCTTGATCTTACAACTACATTTTCTCAATAAAACTCCCCAACTTAATTCTTTCATGAAAACTGCTAGCTTCTTTATTTGGTGAAGCTTCTAGATGGTGGTAAAATACAGAGAGCAAGAGAGAGTCTCAGAGGCATCCTAGATAATGATCTAAAGCATACACCACTCTGAGAACAGAGCAACATTTGACAGTCTATCCATTGTCATAAATACTGCTCCTACACTCCTGTATTTTTTTGCTTCTCTGTGGAAATTGCAGATGGAATTGCTATAAGAAATGAAAGTCATCATTCCCCAACTAAACTTAATGAAAGATCTGTTCAAATTTCTAGCAATATTCTGAAAATTTGTGTCTTCTTACTGAAACATAGCACTTCCTCATCACATATAAGTGGGATGTGAGTCATCATACTATCAATGGCATCATATTTGTGTCCTTTACACAGGAATTAAACTACTACAACACATAATGTATTTATGGTGTCATAGTGAATAGAATACCAACCTGCTATTAAGATGTTTAAACTTAGTTTATACTTTGCTTATTTTATTATACTAGAACATTTTATTAATTTTTTACATGATTTAAAATTGATTTAAAATATTTTAATGGAAATAGGTATATATCCAAGTCTATTTTAAATGCTAGCTCCAGGAAACAGGAATGTGCTCAGTAGGTAAGAGCTCTTGCTGCATGAGATGAATAACTGTGTTTGCATCCCACACAACATAGCATGCAAATGTCAGTGGAAAAGAGAGCTGCATATTTCAGTGTTGAGAAGAGATGTCTGCACATATCTCTGTAATCAGTGATGTGAGATGTTGAAATAATTGTTGGGTTTTGCAGGATGCAAACTTAGCTATAGGAAAAGATCTCTTTTAAAAAAGTAAGGCTATAGGCAGGATGTCAGGTGAACTCCTTTGGCCTTCCCATGTGTGTATATGGTCAACTGTAACTATGCACATAAATGTGCATACACCATACACATATACCCCATACATTCAAATACACAAAAACCAGAGAAAAAACATTCTAGGATCGATAACTGCCAAATATTTTAGAAGGAAAAACAAAATTTAGAAACATGAAGACATGATTTTATGGTGTTTTAATAAGAATACAACGAAAGATAATATGAGACCTAAGCATTTCTCTTTAAGAATTTCACTAGCGAATTTTTTACTTGATTATTTCTTAAACTGTAGATAATTGGATTTAGCACAGGAATTACAACAGTGTAAAATATAGAGTCCATCATATCTTGATCATCTACTTGTGAAGATGCAGGACGAACATACATAAAAAGTAAAGAGCCATAGTATAAAGATACAGACAAGAGATGGGCTCCACATGTGGAAAAGGCTTTCTTTATGCCTTTGAGAGATTTCTGCTTTAAGATTGAAAACAAAACAAGTGTATACGAGACAAGAATAGTCAAAATACTAAATACCTGAATTGATCCAGAGAAAATAAAAAGCATTAAGTAATTAAGAGAAGGGTCAGTACAGGAAATCTTCAATAGTGGCATAACATCACAGTAAAAGTGATGTATTATGTTGGAATTACAGAAAGTTAGTCTGAATAAAAAACTTTCATGAAGCAAAACATGTATAAACCCACCCACAAAGGACAGTGTTAGCAGACGTACACAGAGTCTGTTTGTCATGATCACTGGGTAGTGTAAAGGTTTGCATATGGCTATGTAGCGATCATAGGCCATTGCTGCCAAGAGAAAACATTCTGTGGTTGCACTGATTCCAAACGAAAAAAACTGTGTCATGCATTCTGAGAGAGAGATCAGTTTACTCTTGGCAAAAAAGTCAAATAGCATCTTTGGTGTTACTGTGGATGACAACCAGGTATCCACAAATGCTAAACTCCCTAGAAACAGGTACATGGGGATGTGAAGGTCAGGGTCATTCCAGATGAGAGTGATGAGACCAAGGTTCCCCACAATGGTGATGAGATAGATCACCAAGAACATCAGGAAGAGGGGGATTTTCCATTGTGGCAGATGAGTGAGTCCGGTGAGAACAAACTGTGTCAGCACTGTTGCATTCTCTGTTCCCATGTCTTCTCTTTATGTCCCTGGAATGAAAGGTATTAAAAGTAACACAGTATTCAGTATGAAATTGTAGAGTAAATTTCTGTGTGTTGGAACTTTAATGTAGCCATGTACTTATAAGAACGCCCTTTTATTTTACCCAGTGTTATCTTGATAGATGGAAACTATCCTTGATATTTTAGAACAATGAAAGCTAATTATCCAAATTTTAAATCTGAATGTACCAGCAGATGACAAAGGACAACCAGAAGCTTTAAACATTCAGAAAATGTGTAGAAATCTCACTTGTTTTGATAAAAAAAAATTGTATTTAAGGTGTAGATTATGAGCCAATAGAAAAGATTTTTAAGCACCTGAACTACATCTTAGATTAAAATGAATAGCCTCAACCAACTGGAAGAAGGTGTCTAATATTCAGGTGAAAGTTAAACATAGGTATAACTGGCAAAATGCCACAAAATTAATTCTGAAGTTAGTATACAGTAATAGAAAGAAATAAGTTTTAGGCGGTGTGGGGCTGGAAGCAACAATATTAGAAAGTCCTTACTGTATTCAGAAACTTCCAAATCAGGTTATATACCAAAATTTTCTGCAACATTTGTGTGAAATAAAACTGTAGAAAAAGTTTATGTATTAGTATAAAAAGGGTCTAATAGTCTACCTTTGAAAACATACCAAAATGACTTTAGATTACATGAAATTAAATGTATATGTGGTAGGACACTGGAGATAATTAGAGAACAAAATGGTCAATCACAAAGAATTCTTAATACAGACCTACTACTAAGAAGTGAACTATAGCATGCTAACTGGATGTTCAATGGAAACAAAAAATCCAAACCTCTTTGTGAGCTTTGTATCAGATCTTTAATTTGAGTTTGAGAAATTAGATAAATCAGTCTGTGTTTTTATTATGTACAGGAGAGCTGCACTACCAAAGCTTAATCATAATGTGTTCTTGATTACTTTCCTTTTTCTGCAATGACTTACTCTACCCTCAACAAGAATTTCTATCTTAGTGCCAATCTCATTTCCAAAGAAATATTTCTTGTTGAACCTATGCCACTCCAATGAAATATACAAATATACTTTGGGCAAAAAAAAACAGATAGTTTAAGGTTGTGATCACCAAGAAAGAAAAGGTAATGGAAGGGAAGAGGTGAAGTACAACTGAATATAGTTCCCTGCATGTTGAAAATGGAGAATTTTAATGGCTTTGGTGAAAACAATTTCCTGCACATTATAGAGCCAATGTAGGAAAATAGAAGTAATAAGGGAAATAGGTGGCTACATGGTATAGGACTGCTGTAGTCTAAGAAGTGTGGAGGACAATAGGCATTTATCAAGCACTCATACATAGGCTGCTATAATCTATTACCTGTAGAGAGCTTTTCCACTAATTATAAATAAGGGAAGATTATAAGCAGAAGGAATGTACATTATGTGAAAAAAAGCACAGGAAAGATAAGTACAAAAAGCATACATCTGGAAAAGGAAGATTAATGGAGTTATTCTACAGTAAGGAGGGCACAATATCCCAAACAGACACCTCATGCTTGCAGATGAAAATCTCCTTTTGGAGTATAGTCACATAGACTCCCCCATTCCCCGCAAACAGTCTATGCCCAAATCTCTTGGAACCCTCCAGAACATAGCAACATGTTCCTGTTGCTTCATAAATCACACACTATGGAGTCACAGACCATGGAGAAATTGATTAAAATACTAGCTTCATAATATTTCAAAAGTCATTATGGCAAGATCTTAAAAACCACCATTAAAGAAAACAATTCAAGATATTTTACTTACTTTTATTTAGTGATGATGTTAAAAATATTTCTAATCTTTTCCTCTTATTTTCATTTGTATCAAGCTTGTAGAAATCCAAAGCCACGTATAACATTGTAATAGAATAAAAACTATTCTTGAACATCTATGGAACACATGGTGGATATTATTGAACTTATTTCTCACTTAGACATATCTTGCAAGAAATCCTTGAGATACTTAAATTGTGTGGCGCTATCTAAATCATAAAAGAACACACCAGAGCAGGTGCAAAAAGGCAGTAATATGTGTAGCAATTCTTCTCACAGTGATTCATTCTGGAAGTTTAACTGTCCAAACTCAAAATATATAAGAATCAGATTATACCCCTGCAAGGTCTTTCTAGAAGAGGATTGGTTAGAGAACTGAAATTCCCATTTGGGCTAAATGTTCTCTAGAGAACTAGATAAGGCTGCTCTATTGGCCACCATAGATCTGAACCCCTGTGAAATGCCCAAATTAGTCCCAAAGAGTATCACATGGTTAAATATCATAAATTTCCAATGTTGGAAGAGAATTGAATATTAAATATTGAAAATCCATTTTAGAGACCCCACAATTTCTTCTCAAGGACCCAGACTGATAAAAGTGAGTCTCACTGAACTTCTCTCCATGCTTCTCCCCAGAGCACAAATCTAGTCTGGATCTCATTCAATGCCCCAGCCTAGTCTGGCCACTCCCTTCTGCACCCCAGAGTCTAGTGTGAACTTTTCCTACATGCCACCACTCCTAGGTCCCTTCTTATTACCAGTGTACTCATACAGCCATACATCCCACAATCTTCTTCAGTGTCTAACCTGGACCTACTCTATCTGCCACAACCCACAGGTAACTTTTCCATATCCAAATACTCTATCCAATCATATATCCAGCATCTTTTTCTATTGTCTATTCCAGATAAACTATTATGCCTGCCACCACACAAGAGATCAATTGTGTTTCTAATGGGATTCTCCTGTCATTTTTTTTAATGTAGGCACTTGGCATTATAAACTTGCTTCTCGGATGGATCTAGAAAAAAACATATTGAGTGAGGTAATTCAGACCCAGAAAGGAAAATAAAATATGTACTCACACATAAGTGGCTTTTAGACATATAGCAAATAAAAACCAGCCTACAATCGACAAACACAGAGAGAACCCCCAAGAGAGATATACATGGATCTAAATAGGAAGGAGAAACTGACCATATCTCCTAATATTGTAAATTGGGAGCATAAGGGTCACAGGGGTGGGTAGAAGAGGAGAGGGGAGGAAGGGACCGGAGTAGCTAAAAATGTATAGTGCAATATAAACAATTAAAAAACAAATTACCTTCATTGTGTCTCAAATATTTGAGTATGTGTTTATTTAATTTTCTTTCAATTCTAAAGGTTTTTAATTATTTCTTGATTTCTTTCTTGATCCATTTTTCATTGAATAGTCAGATTTTCAGTTTACATGATTTTGCACACATTTTATTATTCTTCATATCCAGTTTTAATCCATTTAGGTCAGACATGATGCAAGGTACTATTTCAATTATTTATATATGTTGAGACTTAGATTGTGTCCAAATTTGTGATCAATTTTACATAGTTTCATAAGCTTCTGAGGAGAAAGTATATCCCTTCCTGTTTGGATAAAATGTTCTGTAGCTATTTGTTAGGTCCATATGATTTCTGACATTGTTTGACTTTAAAATTTCCTCTGTCTAATTTTTGTCTGCATAGCTAACCTATTGACCAAAGTGAGATACTGAAACCTCACACTATCATGGTGAGAGGATCAGTATATCATTTAATTGAATTTGTGTTCCTTTTTAAAATTTAAGTGCTCTAGAATTAGTGCATAAATGTTTATGATTGAAATGTCCTAACAGTGGATTTTTCTCTTGATGAGTGAATAATGTACATCTTAATTTATTCTAATTAGTTTTGGTTTAAAATGTATTTCATCAAATGTTAAAGTTTCTGCTCCTGCTTGTTTCCTGGACCCATGATGATGAGGTGTGTGATTCTTGGATGCAGTAGAAATGTGGATCCTGCTTTTTCTTCTTTTCTTTTCTTTTCTTTTTTTTTCTGAATCTGAGTGTTTTATTTTATTTTTTTCTAATATTTTTTATTAAAAAATTCTGCCTCCCTTTTCCCTCCCCCTCCTCCCACTCCCCATCCCATCCCATCCCCCTCCCTCTCCAGTCCAAAGAGCAGTCAGGGTTCCCTGCCCTGTGGGACGTCAAAGGTCCTCCCCCCTCCAACCAGGTCTAGGAAGGTGAGCATCCAAACAGGCTAGGCTTCCACAAAGCCAGTACATGCAGTAGGATCAAAACCATTGGGAACTGGGGGGAGGGTGGGATGGGGTAAAGGGGAGATGGGGAGAGAAAAGTGAGAAGGGGAGGATGGGGAGAGCTTGGGGGAATGGGATGGTTGGGATAAAGGAAGGGTAGATATGGGAGCAGGGAAGTATATATCCTAGTTAAGGGAACCATTTTAGGGTTGAAAAGTCTTGACTCTAGAGGGGATCCCAAAGGTCCAGAGAGATGTCCCCAGCTAGGTCCTTAGGCAGCTGAGGAGAGAGAGCCTAAAATGGCCCGATCCTATAGCCATACTAATGAATATCTTGCATATCACCATAGAACCTTCATCTGGCGATGGATGGAGATAGAGACAGAGACCCACATTGGAGCACTGGACTGAGCTCCCAAGGTCCAAATGAGGAGCAGAAGGAGGGAGAACATGAGCAAGGAAGTCAGGACAGCGAGGGATGCACCCACCCACTGATACGGTGGGACTGATCTATTGGGAGCTCACCAAGGCCAGCTGGACTGGGACTGAAAAAGCATGGGATAAAACCGGACTCTCTCAACATGGCGGACAATGAGGGCTGCTGAGAAGCCAAGGAAAATGGCACTGGGTTTTGATCCTACTGCTTTTTCAACTAATCTGTCTGTGTCTTTTTATTGGGCAGTTGAGACCCTTTAGAGTTATCAATGAGTAATATTTATTAAATCCTACTACTTTAGTTTGAGCATATGAATTTTTCCCTCTCTTTTTCAATTTACTCATCTGGGATTATTCCTTTCTATTATATTCTCGGATGTAGTTCACCACTTCAGACTAAAGTTTTTCTTCTAGTTCATTTGTAGGACTAAATTGGAAACTAGAAATTGTTTAAATTTGGTTTTTGTCTTTCTCTCTGGA